GGACGGTTGCATGAAGGTCATAGAGGGCCGCGTGGAAGGTGTGACACTGCCACGGGCACCGGCGCTTGTGACAGAGGGGGTCCGGGGGCTGGAGGGGGTCCCCAAGCGGTTGTGGTGCTGCAAGGAGGTGGGATGGGTGAGACCTCACCTGCAGTGCGGCGTCTGGCGCTGGAGCCATCAGCACAAGAAGGACGTGGACCTGTTGGAGCGGGTCCAGAGGAGGCCACGAAGGTGGTCAGAGCGCTGGAGCATCTCTCCGATGAAGGCAGTTGGGGTTGTTGAGCCTGGAGAAGAGGAGGCTCTGGGGAGACCTTATAGCCCCTTCCACTACTTGATGGGGGCCTACAAGAAAGCTGGAGAGGGACTTTTTACAAGGGCATGGAGTGACAGGGTGAGCGGTAATGGCTTCAAGCTGGAAGAGAGTAGGTTTAGATTGGAGATCAGGAAGAATTTTTTCACTCTGAGGGTGGTGAGGCACTGGCCCAGGTTGCCCAGAGAAGCTGTGGCTGCCCCATCCCTGGAGGTGTTCAAGGCCAGGTTGGATGTGGCTTTGAGCAACCTGGGCTGGTGGGAGGTGTCCCTGCCTATGGCAGGGGTTTGGAACTAGATGATCTTTAAGATCCCTTCCAACCTAAACCCTTCTATGATTCCATGCTAAATACAAATGTCACTGAAGACCTGGAAGGAAAGGTCTGAAACTCCTCTACGGCTGCTGTTGTGTTCCTGCCTGCTCAGCCCAGCATAGGGAACATGGTGAGCCAACAGCATCTGCACCAGCTGTGCTTTGCTCCATGGGCTGCGCTGCTGGGGGCCGAGCAAAGAGACACATCTCCGAGTGTAAAAACATAATCCTAAACTGCCTTGGCAACAGAGGGACGTTTCCTTCTTCCCCCAGTTCATCTCATGTGAAAATAGCCAAACACAAATATTTTAAAAACTCCCAGTAGCAGGAATTCGAGTGTATCAGCACTGCAGGCACCCATCATGAATTTGTTTTAGAGAAGATGTGACCCAACTGGTGTCAAGTGTGAAGGGTCGCATCCTCTCCCTGGAAAAACTCCAAATCCTCTGAAAAACTGACTTGAAATCAAGCATTAAATGGGGACATCTAGGGGAAATACCCGACGGTGCAGCCACGCTTCATAATATCTCTGTTTTTAACAGAGGGCTTAGGGGTAAATGGTTGTCCGTGCAAACCTCAGTGATACCAACGTCGCTCACACCAGTGTGTGTATTTTGCCCCACATACACGGCCCATTTATGAGTCGAAGGAGGAGATATGGGAGGGGGTGTGTTTGCACACTCCATCCTGATGTGTAATGTGGGCAAAACTCAGCATCTCGGCTTGAGAACATCTGGGCTTGGTGATTTCTCCTTAGTTCCCTGATATACTATACCCCAGAGCCTGGGGGCTGATTGTCGGCTCTCATTGCCTTTTCTGTTATGAAAAAAATGGGTTTATCCTGGTATGATCAGCCCTCACATTTCCATTGGGAATTTCCTGATACTGATGCTTGAAACACTGTTTAAAACTCCAGTTCCTGGAAGTTTGTGGATCTACGAGAATTTCAGCTGCTGTTTTTGAAGAAAGTTTTGCGTTCCCCTACGTCTTCCCTTTTCCCCACTGAGTTGTAGGAAAAACAAGCTGAAAATGCAACCCAAGTATACCCCTGCAACAGAAAGAAGCTGAAAATAATTGAGCACTTTTTTTCACCTAACTTCATGGGTTTGGGATCTGATACAACGTGTGAACTTGGCAATACTGGAGTAAGAACAGAATAGAGCTGAGTCAGAGCAACTACTTTCAAAATTTCATACTTTTAATCTCATTTTTTCCAGTGTTTTATCTGTTTTTTTTTTAAAGTTATCATTCTTAGTAATACTTTTACTTTATTGTACTAGGGGATCTGGGCATTGTACACAACCATAGGACCATTGCTTGGATGGCACCCCTGGAGATCATCTAGGCCGGCTTCCCACTTGGAGCAGGAGTGTTGCCAGCCCTGGAGCAGGACAGACAGCAATCTGTCCAGCAGAGTCTTGAAGAACCTCCTTGGATGGAGCAGACACAACCTCCTGGGGTTACCAGCTGCAGGGCACATCACCGTTCTGGCAGAGGGGTTTTCCTGATGTCCCACTGGACCTCCTAAGCTGCTGCCTGTGGTCATTGCCCCTTGTTCTGTCATCTGCATCCCTGATAAGTGTTTGACTCCGTCATCTTTGTAATTGCCCCTGCAAGAGCTGTGGGCACTTATTGGAGCTATCTGTCCTTATCAAGTGCTGTAAAGACGTGGAAACCAAGATAAATCCTATGCCAAAGGGCTTGCAGTGCAGGTAGATGCCCTGTAGACTATCTGAGGGTTGGCTGATCAGATCGGGGCTTGGAGAGATGATTTCTCTACTGGCATAAAATTTTGCAAATTCAAGTTACCCCTTGGAAAGTTTCCGAGCAACTCTGATTCAGCACAGCATTTTGAGGGCTGTGGCATTTTTTATCCAGTGCTTAATACCCTATAAGCAGATTTACTATCTCTTGGCTCCATAGCCAAAGGGACTCAGCCATTTGAATTCTTCCCGCCCATTTCTTGCATAAAGCTCACAGGTGTCAAACCAAGTCAGCAAAATGGTTAATTACCTATCTATGAGTTACTTATTCTTACTATTTCTCAAGTGATAAATAAGAGAAAGAGAATATAAACTCCAGAAATGCAAAAAACCTTGTAAATCTGCCCCAAGCTCCTGGGAGCACCCCTGATCCTGTAGACAGATGGTCACGAGCATCACCATTGCACCAACCGCGGCCGCTCAGAGTGAGCGCGGTCCCCAGGAGCAGTAGGCGTTAGCAGAGCTGAGCTCTCGCTCAGCGTTACGACCCAAGGAGAAGAAACTGCTGACCTGACTGCAAGACTACATACAGCCCCGTGTTTTAAATGTTGAGTTACAGAGAGTCTGTCAACCAAAGTAAGCCAGTGGAATTTGATTTTATTAGTGTTATTCCTGGTCTAGGTTAGGAGTGAGGAATAAAGAGTACTTCCAATGGTTACTGTTGTGCTGGACTGGACTCATTCTGGGTTGGAAGAGGAATGGGTAATAAACACTTTATATAAACCTAAGAGTGGTTCAGCTTCCTAACAGCTAACTTGAAAAAGAAATCGGGCGTTCAAAAGCAGCCACCTCTGAGCTACAGCTCCTGGACATGTCACACAGGACACTGTCAGGTCCTGGAAACCAGAAACGTCAAAGCCCTGGCTAAGGGGAAGGGCGAAGCCCTGCAGGGGCTGCTACGTAGGACCCATGCAATGCGCTTCGGGGTACCACTTGTCTGAGGCTGAGATTTGCATTGCAGTCTAAAATAAATCCTCACGTCTGTGCTATCTTGCACATTTTAATCAGATTTAATGCTCTTGAGCGTTGTAAGAACAATTTCTGTCACTTGACTTTAGAACGTATTATCCTTTAATGCTGAATGGAAGGGGAGCCTTTGCCTCCACATCTGGGGCGAATTCTTCAAAATGTGGAAAAGGCATGAAAGGCGTGGGATGGAGGTGACTTCTGGTTCTCGGGCAGAATTTTCCTTCTGTGAGGGGTCATTGCAATGGTGCAAATTCCGTTTTGCTGATCTTCCACAGCCAGCCGAGACGAAGCCGAAATCTGGGTGTTTTCTGCAGCATCGTGTTTAGATGAAATGTACTGCTTGTTGCCAGTAAGAAATGCCGCGGCACTGGTACAGTCTGTCCAGCTCCTGGATGTTCATCGAAATAATTACCTGAAGAGTAAGTACTTCGAAAAACAAGATTGGCATTAATGCTCTAAAATTACAGCCCCTGTGTAGTGTTTTGAAAAGAGATACAGAGAACACTACATCGCTTAGGATTTAAAACCAGAGATCGCAGACATTACAAATACTGCACTTCAGATGTTACAACAAATGCAGCACTCTGTAATACTAATTAACTAGCAGCTTGGTTAGCACAAATGCTTGGCAATACCCCAAAAAGCTTGCAGATACAGCATGTCTCACCATGTCCTCCCTGCTCTGTCGTGCCCCGGCTGCTCTGGAAGGTTGCATGGCCTGACTGCTCCTGCATCGCCTTCTGAAAGATGTACGGCTCAGGGGACCATGCAGAGCCGCTGAGACGCATTTTGAACTCGCATCGAAGATACTGCTTTCCCCTTCCCCTTTCCATTGCCTCCTTTCCCTGTTTGTGAGGCAGAAAAGGTCCGAGAGCCTACGAAACCTGTTTGATTTTACAGGATTATCATCCTCTGGACCACAGCAGCACGCGAAGCCCCCAGGTCGGTGCTTGTTAGTGCTGTACAACCACCGTAGCCAGGTCCCGGCACAACGAGCAGATCCTCGATGTAGGAAAAACCCAGGCCAGCGAGGACGAGATCTTTACAGCTGTGCAAGCAAGATGCCAGGAACACGGGGCAAGAGGGGATTTCTGGCTCGCTGAAGCTAATTCCTTAGTACAGCAGCAACCTCATCGTGTAATCCTTTCCATAAACCGACCGTGCGCCGTGTCAGAAAGCAGGTGGGTTTCTTGCCAATAGCGTCCTCCACATGAGGCTGTTTCCAACTCCCCCTCCGTGGGTTTGCAGCTTCCCCACCTCCCGCCTGCAGTTCTTCAGTCTACTGCCATGTTTTTGCAACCCCCACCTCGATGCTCCAGCTCGAGTGACGCCTCTTCCCATGGATTTACCCCACTGGCAGAGATTTAATGGTAGCAGGATCAGACCAGGCTGCAGACTTTTTTTTTTTTTTTTAGCAGGGGCTGTTTGTCCCCTGTGTTCACGCTTGGGGGAGTTTGAGGGAAATGTTGGATCAGGAGGTTTGGCTCCTCTGCACTGGAAAAGATTAAATAGGACTAAAAAGAATTGCTAGTCGATCATGAGCTAAAAGTGGCACCTCCAAAAGAAAAATGGGTTCTTTTTCCAATGTTTCTGGTTTGTTGGAAAAGTCCTTTTTTCCTCCAGGAGTGGGGTGGGAGAGAAGAGAGAGAGAGAATTATAAGCACTTTAACACTGCCTTCTGTGCAGAAATCACATATGCCTCTTTCATAAATCACGCCATCTTATTAATACTGTCTGTTAATTCTGAACAGTATCTCGTCTGCTACTGTGTTTTAATTGCCTGTGCAACTTGTCTGGGAGCAGTGGGCATTTAAAATAAAATAAATCCTGCTAATTATTGCTCTCAGCTTTGTGCAGACGATGCCTGAGAGCTCGCTGTTTTCCAGATCTGCAGTTTTATTGCTTTCTCTGTTACGTGACCGACCTGACTAAGGACCAGATCATGCTGCTGTTTGACACGCTGGACCAAAACGTGAGGGGGAGGATTTGCTTTAATGAGTTCTACATGGTGGTGCGCATCGTGCCGTCCCACGAGGTGCATACCCTGCAGATCCTGCAGTCGGTACAGGGACATCTGCACCATCCAACACCACTGTAAAGGGAATCAGCTCACTGGAGCTGATCTTCACTCACAGAATGCAAGGGATGGAGAGGGTCTCTGGGTCTATGCTGCTGCATAGGAAAGGAAAGCAGGGAAACAGGCAGTCCCCCTGTTAATACCAAACCTTCCTCCTCTGGGATAAATCCACCCATGAACCTTTTACAAGGTAGGAACCATCTAAACACTCCTCCCAGCTCAGGCTGTTCATCGTAATTCTCCAAAAAACAAGCCCTTGGCTGCGTCTACCTGTGTGGAAGAGAGCAGAGAATCCATTTTCACCCATCAGTTCTTGCTAGTTTGTAGGTGCCCTTCTTCGGCCTCCCCAGCGTCACCCACAGCCTGCACTGGGAGAGACTGGTGCCTTTTCAGGGAAAAGCAGCGAGGACAGCAGGCTGCGGTGAGGGAGAGGGGTGGTGAAGCCAGGGTTGCCCCCAGAGCTCAACCCTGCTGTTGGACATGCCCTGCAGCTCCGCTCTGGACCAGACACCCAGCCAAGGACCAGCGCTCGGGGGAGGAAGAAGAGGAGCCAGCCATGGGACGTAGCCCTGCAAGTCATTCGGCACACGGGAGGGACGGGAAAGGGCCTCACAAAGCAGCCGTGGAGCTTGGCTGGCTGTCGGTGCTCTCCCCGGCACAGCCCGCATCCCGCCGGCAGCAGCCGCGCGTTCCCGCCTGGCTCCACAGCAGGAAGCATCAGGATTTTGGTATTTCCTGCGGGCGCGACTAGCAGGAGGTCACCTTTATTCTCTGGATGCGAGCACCCGTTGGTATTCCACATATTCTCTCCAAGCAGGAAATTGGTGCTTATCATCTGTTTCTAAACCTTTCTGCCCCGAAACAGAACCGTCTCAAAAAGCAGTTCACCCACCAGCAGGCGGGATGCGCCTTGCAACGGCTGGACGTAGATACGGGTAATAGGACAGATTTTAATGAGTTTGAAGCCACAAGCTTTCTCTTCAGCATTCAGAAAGAACAACTTAAGAAGATATTCAAGGACTTTGATATTTCTGGAAATGAGGTAAAATTAGAGAAATTACAGTCCAAAGAGAGGTGATGAAAATACCCCTTAATTCAAAATTAACCTTTGGGATGAATTTTGCGCTGCAGCCCACAGCCAATTCTCACTCAAGCCTGAGTTTTCCTGTTGACTTCAGGAGTGGGGCTTTGGTGACTTACCGCATGGTCTAAATTGCAAATGCCTTGATGGTAAGATTGCAACAGGAAGAAATAATTTTGGGGGGGTAAACCGGGCATATTCCTCTGTCTGAGGAGACTCTAATGGGAGGAGGTGGGCAGGACTGGCAGACGGTGCCTTTAGCAAAGCCATTTTCCTCCGAGTTCACTTGTGGCTTCTCATTCTTTTCCAAGCTCTCTGCAGCCCGTTCTCTGAGCTGCCGGCCAGGGGGTACCGCGGTGGGGTACGCTCAGACTTGAAACTCCTTCCAGAAACATTGCAAGCGCCGTACCTTGGCTTATGCCTGTGCCATGGAGATGCCGATGCCAGGTAAGAGCCCCAGGGGAATCTCTCTTCTCTGATGGATCCCTCATGCTGACCTTAAACCAGCTCCAGGTTCCAAGGAGAGTCCGTAGGGATCTCACCCGTCCCTGCCCCATGGTGGGGAGCTGCTCCCTGCAACCAGAAAGGGAACAAAGCCGGTACCAGCACCTCCCCTCCAGCTCCACGTTTACACACTTCTCCCTGCGGAGGAGCAGACACACGTCCCTTGCCAATTGGCTTTTGCCACCACTGCACCTTTGTCTCTGTCTGGTGACCGGCGCTCTTTCACATCCCTCCCTGCTCTGAAGTACTCTCTGATTAACGACCACCCACAGCTCCAATGGTCGGGAACCGGTCATTAATAGACTGTAGACATCTCTTATGTCTGTCACAGCTTCACACCGTCCTTGTGACTGCAGCATCTCGGCATGCTCCAGGAGCACATGTAACAAGACAGCCCTCGGTAACTGAGGCAGATCCCTTCTCCTTCCTTTCCCTTCTGCTGCTAGGTTCCCGAGTTATTGTTTTTATTGATAATTCCCCTCCTCTCTGTTCCACCACCAGTATCCTCTTCAATTATTTGTTACCAGCAGCTGTAGCATCTCTCCTGTCTCCCTGCAGGGCTCGCAGCCCGTTTCCTCGGGGGTTTAGCGGCGCAGGGAGGTATCAAAGCCTCCGTCCCGCTCGGGGCCTGCAGACAGTTCTCTAATGCCTTTGGAGTAGTTTCCTGCAATAAGCCGTTTCAGCCCCGAGTCGCGCTGATCCCCTCCTTTCATCTGGAGGCTCCCTGATTAAAAGGCCACTTTGAGCAGGAGCAGCCCGGCTGCGATACAGCCGTGAAGGCACCCCGCTCCCCCCATCCACCCCGTAACCCCAGCTGTTGTGCATCGCTCCAACATCTGCAAGTCATTACAAACAGCAAACAAACAGCCATGTGCCAAGGAGGTGCCCTATTAGCCTGTAACATGTTTGGGATGAGCCAGAGGCAATCCCGAGTCTGTCGGGAAACTAGAGCAAGGTGGAGAAGGGGACGAGCGCCCGGACTCGGGGTCTTTCTCTGAAATAACTGTTTCCATTGGGCAAGGCTGCCTTGCTCCGCCGGGGATCTGTCTCCTCTCCAAAACCAGCAGCTGAACTATGGGGAATTCAAGATGCTTGCAGTCTTCTGCATTGACAAACAACAACGAAAAGAGAAGTGGACAGGAATAGCCTCCCAGCAGGAGCAGCGACCTCCGAAGAGACTAACAAGAACCCTTTACGCAGCTGGGGACGACACAGCCTCGCTTCTCTGCCCCCGGGGCTCAGCTTACAACTGCCAGGTAGATGTACCAAATGCGGAGAAAATTAATAAATTGAAGTGCTGCAGAAAAGCGATTGCCTCTTCTGTTTTCTCCACTGCACGTTGCCACGGCTCTGCCAAGGTGAGCCTGGGAGACTGGCGTCCGAGGAGGAGGAAGGACTGATGCAACGTGGACTTCAGCCTCACACCTCTCCCCAGGATGAAGCCTGGTGGTAGCGTTACCTCCTCCCGGGCACCGCAATAGCTGTGTCCTCCTGGTGTTTTAGACACAGCCTCTTCCCATCCCCTACGTTCCCCACTGGGGAAGCCGGCGCCCTCCTCCCCAGCGCTGCCGGTTTGCCAGGGTCGGATGCACGCAAAGCAAGACTGGTTTGAAATGGGGCAGACTGGTCTGCGAGGCCGGAGCTGCTGATGGCGGCAGCTCCCCGCTCCGCATCCCCCGCCTGCGCGCTCCGGGCTGGGGCAGCTCCCTGCATCCCCGCTGCTGCGCTCCCCAGGAACAGCCCAACGACAGGAAACGCTGTTTGCTTTGTTAACGAAACCACCTAATTAAGTCCATGTGGAGAGAAAGCAAGAGAGGCAGTTTAATTCCTCTTGCTAAATATTGACTGTTTACCCTTTGGGCACAGCGACTCGGTGAATTTATTTCCCCCTCTCACCTTACACACGGGGCACCACATCCAAACTCGATGCCATTAGAGAGCTTCCCTAACGAAGCCGTGTGGCTGCAGCATAAGGGACTAATTAGAATAGAAAATTCCAGTCTCCGAGTGCCGCCACTGACCTCCCTTGAAGTGAGGTTTCGGCACGCCTCTAAGGTGGCATCCCACCTCCCAGACCTTTGCAACTGCTCCGAGTCCAGAGAAAATAAACTACACGGCTGAAATCCCAACTTTCTGGGATTATTCAGGGAAAGGGAGAACACAACGAACCACTCTTTGCAGAGCTCAGGGCCTTTTCCATAAGTTACCCTGATATTTTTAGCCCGGATTTGGAGGGACCAGCCACCTTGAGCTTTCCAGCTAGATGCTCCCTCCAGCATCCCGGGTGACTGGAGTTTCTGCACCCACCGGGGCCGTTACCGCAACGTATGCGGCAGCAGAATCAGGTCTGCAGTTAAAGACCGTTTCCCTTCGTGCTGTCCCTGGACCCCCACACTGGGTATTGACACAGCACCGGTCTGCAGGAGCACAGACCGAGCGGGATGGGAGCGTTGGCTAAACTGGGATGCAGCTTTCGCCAGCAGAAAGCAACTGGGAGTTTGGCAGGGGGCCAGGAGCGAGGGTCCAACATCCACCGTAGGGCAGAAACCCCACACTACTCGCGACACATCATGTGATGTCATATAGTGAGATATAGGTCAATGAAATATGAATATAGGCACAATACAACCATTAATTATGTGTTCATTAGGAACAGAAACACTGTAATCTATATAACATAGCTCTATAAATCCTACGTAGTCTTCTCCTCCAACCTCCAGACTAGAGTGTTTCAGTTGGAAGGGACCTACAACAATCATGCAGTCCAACTGCCTGGGCAACGCAGGGCTGACCAAGCTAAAGCGTGTTATTAAGGGCATTGTCCAAGTGCCTCTTAAACACTGACGGGCTCAGGGCATCGACCACCTCTTGAGGGAGCCTGTTCCAGTGTGTGACCACCTTCTCAGTAAAGAAATGCTTCCGATGTCCAGTCTAAACCTCCCCTGGCACAGCTTTCCACCATTCCCACGTGTCATAGAATTGTCTAGGTTGGAAGAGACCCTTGGGATCATCGAGTCCAACCATCTACCCTACTCTACAAAGTTCTCCCCTACACCATATCCCCCAACACCACATCTAAACGGCTCTTAAACACATCCAGGGATGGAGACTCAACCACCTCCCTGGGCAGCCTGTTCCAATGCCCGACCACTCTTTCTGTGAAAAATTCTTTCCTTATGTTCAGTCTAAATCTACCCGTGAAAAATTCTTTCCTAATGTTCAGTCTAAATCTACCCTGTTGGAGCTTGAAGCCCTTCCCTCTCGTTCTGTCATTAATTACCTGTGAGAAGAGACCAGCACCAACCTCTCTGGTCCTGTCTCTGGGCGCCAGGGAGAGCAGCACCTCCCTCTCCACCCTACAGCTCGGACGCTGTAGGGTGTGAAGCAGCACTTGATTTCACTGCCTGTAGCAGCGAATGAGAAAATTTCAACTCTTGGGGGCACTTTTGACCAAGAATCCACATCCTTTTGGGGTTTTGCTTAGCTCAAGAGTCAGCCCGGAGTTCCCCAGCCCATTTCATACACCAAAAGGTGCTACAGCTGCAGAGCAAAGACGGTGTGGTGTGGGTATGCGCACACACAACAACGTGAGACGGACATCCCTCTTACTGCTTGGCAAGAGACCACACTTTGGTCAACGAGCAGATGGGTAAAGAAAGATCACCCGTAGTTTTATAATCCTGGCGTTTGAAGACATCAGCTCTGAGAAATTCTCTGTCCTTGCTGGGAGAGGTGGAAGCAGGGTTGTCTCATGGGTCAGAAGAACCGGCTTCAAACACGCCTTGGCACCTGGTATTTTACACATACACACGCACACACAAATATATATATATAAAAGAGATTATATATACTCACACATAAAAAAGGACTATATATATATGGGGAAAATTTAAAAAGTTCCACGCACGTCACATGCTTATTTGTTTTTAGCTCACATCATAAATTCTACCATGAAATTATCCTAAGATAAATTTAAAAAAAAAAAAAAAAAAAAAAGGAAATGTTTAGCTGGGATAACATTAAACCAAAGTGGCCTACAAAAAAATTATTCCTACTCCTGTGATACATTAGGTAGTTAATCAGGACTATAAAAAATGGTGACCTGAATTAAGACAACATGTCAGTTAATGTAATTATAGGATAATTACACAGATCCGTTATGTCACACTGTTCACTGAGGAGCCTGAAGCACATCTGCAGACAGCGGGAGCCGGGAACAGAGGAGGTTCACGCTGGATGTCACAGCGCATCTCCAGGTCCTGCGTTCTCCACACACTGTGCACCTTATTTGCAAGAAAACAACCTTGTCACACCCCAAATTTATTACCAAAAAGTGTCTCTAGGGTGTCAGACTGGTAATCAAAAATTTGCGGAGCTCCAGCTCAGAATCAAAAGCCCTACTGGAGAAATTTAAAAAGAGAAACAACACTGAGTTTATTTCTTAAGGCATGGCCTTTCCAGGATTACTTTTATTTTTTAAATGCAGGGGAGGGAAAAGTTTTTCTTTTTTGTTCTAAATACAGGAAATTTTGTACAACATTTCCAATAGAAGTTCACGACGGTTTGCTCTCAATGGTAAAAGATCTTCCCTAGGTTAAAAAAAAAAAAAAAATCACATAATTTAACAGTCTAAAGACAACCTAGTTGTGCTTTTGGATTTAAAAATATGTGCACACACTACTGCGATATGTCAACCAAGAAACAGAGGTACAACGTAAAAATACATAATGCATTTTAAAAAATTACCTGATGTTCACAGCATCTTTATATTGGGCTAGAACTCTTCATTGCCTGAAGGAGCCAGGAAGGGGAAAAAAAAAAAAGTTAAAAAGCGTGTTTCAAACAACTGGTATATTTGATTCTAAAAGATTTCATAGAAATTACAGGGGGAAGAAAAGGTCGCGTCACTGGAATCCCCTCGTCCTTGTTTCACTGCGTGTTGGAGCTGTGTATTTTCTGTGTCAGTACCAAATCTAGCACCGTATCCTCTGGAATACAGATGCTCCTTACGTGGCGCACACAAACAAATCGCATACAAAAAGTTTTACCATAAAAATGAAGATATTTATTCAAGAAGTACAAATTTGATGGTACCAGCCATCTTTGAAAGCCATTACCATGAGGCAGAGAGGACACAAACCGAAGTCTCTTGCTCAGAGCATATGAAAGCAGTGTCTTACAAATTGCCAGCTAATGCAGTCATTTCAATCATTGCTCAAAAGCCGCCTCCGCTTTTTAAACATTCCCTGGACTTAAGAGAGGCACAAATAGGGTTTTTAATACAAGACCAGTTAGTTATTTTAATAAAGCCATCAGCTAAAATTTATTGTTTTAAATTTCCTTAAATTGTCTCCAGCCTTTGACTGGATTCCAATTTCCTAAAGAAAAAAGGGACTTGGGAACGAGCAGGTGCAGAATTGTTTTGGAGCTCAAGATGAACTAAAAGTTTTAAGGCAGGAGTCAGGATTTTAAGTTCTCTAGTTGCCCCATGGCTCTGATCAAATGGTCTTCATCTGTAAAATATACAAATACAGAGTTCTACTGGAGAAATACCCAACAAGTGGTCCTGCTGTGAGGGCAGGAACATACTTCTTCACAGAGAGTCCAGTGGACACGGTTATTACAAGTCTCAAAGTCCATGGTAAGAAGCCCGCTGGTTAAAACATCTCCAACTATTTGACTTTTGTAGGCTCAGTGGCATGTATCTCCCTTGGAAGGAGAGCTATAGCTCCATCTCCTATGAACAAGAGCAACACACACGCGGCTACGGAGCATCTAAGCGGATGAAATATGGAAGAGGAGAGCCATTTGCAGAACAGAGCAATCAAAACCACTTTATGAAAAGGAAAAGTCTTAAAGCAGGCAGACTTGTATATACAGTCATTAACCAACAGAAGTGTTTGTAGCTGCAGATATAATAGCAGGACATTCATCTTCTTCGGGAGAAGACAGAAGCGCGGTGGCTGGAAAGTTTGAACTCAAAGGCTCCCTAGATGAGTTAACTCGCAAGGCAGACCACCAACATCTAGTGGGTTTAAAGCAGATTTTGTTTTTCTTGCAGAAAAAAGTTGCAGAACACATGAAGCTCACCGTCCGTCCCCTCCCCCCCAAAAGCAAGTTTCCAAAAACGCCTTTCTCAAATACCTCTACACCCTGCTCCGGGAGAGCACACGCTGCCCAAGAGCTGCCAGCCATCATCTGGGAGGGGGTGAGAATTACAGGGGCAGTGGCGAAGGGCAAAGGGAAAAAAAAAACAGCCCCTTTTTCTAACAGAGACTACTTTCATTTCAACATAACAGGATCTGAGCAGCGCGGTGAAAAAGCCAACACAAATCTTTTTTTTTTTTTTTTTTTTTAAATGTAAACATTCTCTGCATAAGGTGCAGGGTCTTGGATGTATTCACAGCGACATAGAAAAGAGTTTGTAAAATATAGATTAAGAGTCAGAAATGTAGCTACCACTTACGCTTCTGAAGAAGATAGAAATGGAGAAAGGTACAGCATTCAATTCGTCAACACTTACACGGCTAAAATGCTTTCAAAACTCCATGGCTAAAAGCACCCAACCATTGTAACAAACTAAGATAGGTTTTTTTAATAGTTTTTCAAAAGTTTTTACATTATTTACTAACAACGGATATATACGTGGAAGCATGTCATACTACAGCGGTATTTTCCCAACCGGCCATCTGCTTTGCCGAGGTTACGCACGTCGCCATGTGTTGCCTTGTGGCTCCGATGAACCCCTCTTTCCTCTCCTCCCCAAAGCAACTTCGGAACTCTCTGCGAAAGGCAAAGAGGAGCTGGGTTTTGTTTGGTTGCTCCTGGAGTGAGGGTTTTGTTGTTGTTACTACTTTCAACATTAGGAGTCTATTAAAAAACGCAACTTACACAACACTGCTGACTCTCATCATTTAGTTTTCCAAAAGGTTTCCCAGACCCAAAGAATCAAAGGCTTTCAGAAAACTATAAAAAAAGTTCTTGCAGTGCAGCTATTTCCAAGCTGCGATTTCTGCAGAGGACACCACTAAACTGGGATGCACAAAGAGCCAAGGCAGTCAATGACTTTTAGGAGCTGGATGCTCTGAAGGAGCAGTTGTCACTTGGTTTTGGAAGACGACCTTCTGCAGCGCACCGAGCAACGTACCTACAGCATCTGCAGCTTTGCTGGAGCTCCCTCACCCTGCAGACTACGTGTTCATGCCTCTCTGCCCTTCAAGCTGTTCAGGAGTGTGGACTTTCACTACGTTATTACTTCTGGGTCAGGCAGAAGCAACAATAAAATGTATAAAAATCTGAACCACATCAAACAGACCTGTCACTAACATGGTAAAAAATGTTATCTACTGGCCACAGCCAGAGCTTATCTACTGGTTCATAACCAGAGCTAATGAGGAATGACACAAAGGGCAGAAGGGTCTAACAAAGTAAAAAAATCTTACTCCTCACTTGTCTGTTTTGCAGTTCATGGCAGTTTGGCGTTAAAAAAACCCCTGTTGCATCGCTTCACCTACATCCAGGACACCCCACGGTGTGGGGCAGGACACCAGCTGCCGTGCCAAAACCCAGCCCAGGCCGTGCTGCCAACGGCACCGAGCCGCAAGCTCAACGTACACCCACCGCTGCAGAATGAAGGCGCACACCCCGGCGTGCTCCTATCCATCCTCCCCGTGAGCAGCCCCCGGACCTGCGCCGGGGCTGCCAGCTAAACAACGGTTTAATACTTCGTTAGTCTCACCGCAGGCATGCCTACTCTGCTCTGCCACCAAACCAGCCTTCCTGCCCTCCTCCAGGTGTGGGGAGCCCGGCTCTGCCCTGGGAACCCCCACCGGTCCCATGGGAGCCCCCGTCTGGTTTCCCGCGCTGGTGTTTGCACCGCAGACCGTCTCGTAGGACAAAGACAAAGCATTTCGGAAACAGAAATGACTCTTCTCTCAACCTATATTGCAACCTCTAGTTATATACATGGGATATGCTAGTCAACATGCTGTATGCCTTCATTACTGATTTTTCTTTTTTTTTTTTTAATATATATCTATATTTTGAAACTTAGAATTCATTCCTAATACAAATCTTGTAAAATTTCTTTCCGGCAGGGTATGCGCTTAGCACATCTGTCGTTTTATACAGAAGAGGTTGAAAAGTTGTCACTTTTCACCTAGAAAAACGTTTTAC